CTTCCTAGGAGAGGAAGGAGATCGGCGCATCACCCACCAACCTTGAATACAGCCTGGTTCGTGGTTTTTCTCTTTGTATTTTCGTCTTCCCTCGCCATCGTCCATCTTTCGTCTTCGAATCCTCCATCTCCACCGAAATTTCCCTCAACTTCCTCCACACACCCAGCTCTATTAAAATCCCTCATAGCCCCGGCCACCTCCACCCGACCTCACTTGGCTGCCGTCCATAGCTCCTTAGCCGCCGGCCCCCACTCCCTTTAATTCTCTTATTTTGTTTCCTAATTTAGGTTGGGATCATTTGGAATTAATGTGAAATTCAAATCCCTTCAAATTTGAATTCAAAATATTTCTTAAATTATCTCATCTATTTTAGGAAAGTATTTGATTTAGTCTAAATTTGAATTTTAAATTCAAAAGGATTTAAATCAAATCTTTCCTAAACTTAGAACCGTAAATTAGGAATCCTGATTGGCCCTCATTAACTCACCCACTCACCCATGCATGCCGCCGGTCCTCTTTCCCTAACCCATTAATTCTTTTGAATTATTTCCTAATCTCATCTATTACTTGGGAAATAATTTGAAATCACCCATAAATCCCCTCTTGAGTGAATTTCCTACTCACCTTGCTTGGATTGATTTGTTGCCTAAGTGGTCACGTCACTTTAAGTCACTTTAAGAAATAAATCAAGTCTTCCCTATTCTCTTTTCTCTGTTTGCCGCCCAACACCCGCCTCCCTCTCATACCCGTCTCCTCTCCTCTCCAACCTCCACCTTCTCTCATTAGGCTAAGTCTTTGGATGCCTTGAGTTCCTTTCTTCCAAGCCTCTTCTATTACACTAAATCTGAGAATTTTCTCAGATTTATGGAGCAAAGCCTGAACACAATTTCAGGTTTTGAGATCAACACTTGGAAATAGATCCCCAACCATTTATTAGAGAAACTTCTTTCTCTACAACAAAGTTCGAGATTGCTGACGTTATTGGGAAGAGATCATCCTTGAGCATTTATGAATGGCGGATCCGATTTCTGAGTCTCCTTAGCAAAGGTTTTTTTTCTTCACTTGCATCTTATTTCTTTGGAATCTAAATTATCTTTGGCTTGATTGTAATCGCAAAGACTCATCCAAATGCCCTTTCTAAGCCTAGTAATTCGTAGGTTATTGAGTGTACTTTCTTTGCATCCTAAATCTCGTTATTAGACTAGGGATTAAATTGAAGACTACTATTTTGCATTGTTTCAATTGTCTTATTTATCTTGAAATTTTCAAATCTTGGAGCATGTGATTTAGCCTACGCAAAGCATCTATTTATTTGTTTTAGTCGACGTTGAGAATTGCTAACAATTTTAATCCAAGATTATTCTAATCGAAGAATTGTGCAATGCTTAAAATGAAGCCATAAGCATGTCATCTAAGTAGTCCTGCATCAAGAGCATACCATGCTCTGATACCAGATGATACAGGACTACTTAGATGCAAAGCTTATGGCTGATGATACAGGACTACTTAGATGACATGCTTATGGCTTCATCTTAGTCATTGCACAACTCTTCGATTAGAATAATTTTGGATTAAAATTATTAGCAATTCTCAACGTCGACTAAAACAAATAAAGAGATGCTTTGCGTAGGCTAAATCACATGCTCCAAGCTTTGAAATTTTCAAGATAATAAGACAATTGAAACAATGCAAAATAGTAGTCTTCAATTTAATCCCTAGTCTAACAACGAGATTTAGGATGCAAAGAAAGTACACTCAACAATCTACGAATTACTAGGCTTAACAAGAGCACTTGGATGAGTCTTTGCGATTACAATCAAGCCAAAGAGAATTTAGATTTCAAAGAAATAAGATTCAAGTGAGAAAAGAAACCTTTGCCAAAGAGACGTGGAGATCCTCCACTCAAGGCCTTCGACATGCTCGTTGATGGCTTCCGTTAGAACGCACAAGATGCCATCCACGCCCTCTTCAATAGTATGGTCAATCTCCTTCTCCTTGATGATGTACTCGGATATCTTGAAAAGAAAGAAGCTTCTCTTGCCTTGTGGGATGGGAAGGAACCAAAAGCTGAAATCTGAACTCGGTTTCAGATTCTTGTAAGTAGATTATGGGAAGCTAGTAGAGGAGATCCAAGATGAGCCCTTGGAAAACTCGGCCAGCAGCAGGTAATGATTTCCAAATTCTTCTCATAGGGAGATCAAGCACTAAGAGAGAAATTTCTAAAAGAAATTCCAATAGGGAGGCTGACGGGTACGTGAGAGAGGAATTTCAGGAATTTATTTCCTAGTTCAGAATGCGATTTTAGGAAATAATAAAGAGATGGGGCTTGAGGAAAATTCGGCCCAGGCAGAGATATGGGAGATTTGAAATTATTTCCCAAAAGCCAAGGATTGGTTTAGGAAATATTTCCCATCTCAAGCTATGATTGGGCCGGCGGTATCCATGGGAAAAAGGAAGGGATTTAGGGAGTTAATATAGCTTCCAGATTTAGATTTATGAGATTAGAAAGCTTTAATGAAATCCTCTCTCATTCAAAATTCAAATAGGATTGCATGAATGAACTTTCCTAAAATAGAAGTTGAAGATTAGGAAAGTTTTGAATTTCAAATCAATTGAATTTGAATTTCAAATTTATCCAACTTTGATCAGATCTAAATTAGGAAACTTCTAGGAGGTAATGAAGTGGAGATGGCCGGTGGTCTTTGAATGGTGGCCGGCGGCTTTATGGAGGTTGGGGGAAAATTTGGCCGTGGGGTGTGGAGAGGGGTGGAGGAGTCGGGTGAAGAGGGGAAAATCGGCGGCTAGGTGGGAGGAAAGAAAAAAAAAAAGAGAAGAGCGAGAAAAAGATAAGAGATATGAGAAGGAACCACGAACCCGACTTATCTAGGTTGGTGGGTATTACGCCAATCTTCTTCCTCTCCTAGGAAGCTCTCTCCATTAGAACTCTCAAGCTCTCAATGCCATGCAAGAAGGAATTTTCATAATCAATCATTCCTTAAGCATAATAGAATAAAGTGGGGCTTTAAATAGCCTCCTACAAATGACTCGAAACAAAAGACACAAACGCCCTTTGGGCTTACATACGACAACTCCCATAAGAGGGGTACAACGGGAAATAAAACAACATAAGCAAATGAAAAAAATAAAAATACATCAGCACATAAGCAAATAACAAACTATATGAAAATAAAAATACATCAACGACTCAAAAATATAAATACTCGATCGTGGCCGTAGATTGGCGGCCGCGTCTCTGATAAACTCTCCATGAAGATCTGATATCCCCATCACAAATTTAAACCCTAAAATTATTTATATTATATGTGTATGGTAATTATTCTGACCTATTTAACGACTAGCCTTAATCGAAAGTTGTCTCTCATTATTGAGAGAGGCAATTAACTATCACGGCTTGTGTCTATGGGAAATCAGAACTCATATCATAAAATCGACGCAAAAAAGGGGCAAAATCTCTGGGTAATGTCATACCTAAAACCCAATCTGCCTTTTGAAAATTTGCCCATGAACCTAAACTCGTTAAAACTCTCCCTTTAACAAAAGAAGGCGCAGAGAGGCCGGGGTGCGAATTTTTGGAGCCCACAAACAACCCATAAGGTAATGTATCAGACCCTAAATGAGAGATTATTAAGTTTGGTCTAAATTTCAATGAAGTTTCTGACTGGTGAAGCAAGTGTAGGGAACAATTATTACGTCCTCTGACCGGACGTAGAGCTACGTTCGGCCGCCAATAACATGTCGCCACGTGCTCTTACTCTTTACCGCGCGGCCCGACGACTTGACCCGGAGCGGAACCCGAGAATGCTATGTTCGCAATTTTCTCGGTATTGCTCAGTATTTGCTCGGTATTTGCTAGGTATTGCTTTGCAAAAATGAGAAATATCGCTCTGTGAAGACCAATACCATGCAAATACCGAGTTGTACCGAGTTTTTTACAACTCGGTACAACTCAGTATTTGCTCAGGATTTGCTCGGTATTGCTAGGGATTTGCTCGATATTGCTAGGTATTTGCTCGGTATTGCTAGAAAAAACTCGATACAACTCGGTACAACTCGGTATTGCTAGGGATTTGCTCGGTATTGCTAGGTATTTGCTCGGTATTGCTAGAAAAAACTAGGTACAACTTGGTATTTGCTCGGTTTTGCTAGGTATTTGAAATATATCCAAAAGGTGATGGGATGTTGTTTGGCTCGTCAAGGATTTAAAAAAAACGCACATGCCAGAATCCAAAAAACAGCGGGTCGGGTCGGCGACTTTTCTTCATGCTATATGGCGCTAAAACATTGGTGGCCGAACGTAGAGGAGCGTACGTTCACCGGACCGAATAAAAGTTCCAAGTGTAGGTCGTGAGCACCAATCATCTATTCCAATGTTCCTTCTCGAATTCTTCAATATGATGCTTCCTTATTTGAAGGTTGCATATTATACTTGCTTCAGGTCTCATGTTAGACTGTAACAGAAAGTGAGAATTGGTGTTATTGGCTTAAATTTAAGCTTGGTGCTTTCTACATTTTGCACCTGACACTTTGCAAGGGTAAAGAGGTAAAAAATGGTGTTGCATGGTGTTGCACACTTCGTTGCTTATACCTCAGACTCCCTCTGGGAAGATTTTTAGCTTGGACTTCATCATGCATTTTTTAGAGTTACGATTAGGTTAGATAATTATATCAAAAACCCTAAATTCCTTTGAATTTTAATTGGCTTGAATGAAAATGATTTTCATGAACTCAAAGAATACTCTATTGAAAGGTCGATTCAAATCGACTTGAATTTCAACTTTCCTAAATATGACTGCCCGGGTTGTTTATGTGCCGGGCTTGTTTACGTTACAGTTTTTGTAGAGCATTTGTTTGTTATTGCTAGCTTTCTTTCATGCAGCACGACAATGGTGCCTTATTGCTAGCTCTTAAATAATTTTTTTTAGATTGCATGCTCTCCGGAGACTAAGATATTAAATTCATCATATCAATCAATGCTACAGGCACAAAGGTCTTTGAAGAAAATTTGCAGCATAATGCAACAGCAGAATCCTTTTGAAGTGCTGATTTTATTTGTGTCCTGCTTTGTGTCTATCTACGCTCTGGTGCGGATCATATTATTGCAAATGGAGTGAAGAAATGCTATGCCCCATTTCTGTCACCTACGACTTGGATACCTTTACTTCTCATGTAAAGAAGCTTCATAGAATAAAGTAGGATTTTGTGAATTATACATTTCATTGATTTCTCTGTTCATCAGTGCCCCTTTTAGTTTTTCCATGCCAATTGAAAACTGCGCAATAAGCATCTTTGTTGATTTTTGCTTCGTTTGAGATAATTTTAGGCCACTATCTTTTTCTTTTTTTTTTAAAGAGTTTTTTGTACTTAAAAATATTTTTACAAAACAGTAAAAAAATTGTTCCAAATGAACCCGGTTAAAAGAAGATGAGTATCTCATATAAAATCCAAAATCTTCAGTAATCATAGCTCATAATCTGCAAGTTTAATGATATTATCAACCACTTCACCATTATATCAATACATAAAGAATCACTTGAATGTCAAATGAAATACTTGAAATGTAATTGAATATTTTGAAATATTAATTGAAGGATTATATAATTTGATAGTAGGATTGTGTGTTTTACTAAAACTTATATATTTTATCAAAAATTGATACAAGGGAAAAAAATTACAAAGTTTAAAATATATTATATAATTCTAATTTAAATTTAATTTTTAAGTATATTTTAAGTTAAATAGGCGACTTGACAAACTTATAGGCCGATTCACGATGAGCTCGTGCTCGTAGAATATATGAGCTCCAGCATAGGCTCAAACATAAACTCCTGGCTTGATAAGTTTGACTCATGAGCTTCTTAATATGCTGAGTCATCTCTGCTCACTTGTACTCCTACTCGAAGTGTATCATTTTTATATTTATTTAAATAAAATAGCAAAAGCTATTTATTTTTGCCAAACCATGTGGCAATCCTTATCAAAGAGTTCACGTGCTAGATCTCACAAAGATAATTTCTTTGAGTGGTCCTTTCCTTCCATTTCTCTCAAGTATTTTGTTTTAAGTTATATTAATAAGATGAAGTGTGAGTGGTGGTGAGTAGCTGCCTTTTGCTTTCATTCAGAGATGGGCTACAATAATGTTAGTAGATCCAACAGACAGAAAATCAAGCCTTCAGTCACCTCACATAATGAGAATTTGGCCATATTTAATAAAACCAAACTTAATCTTAGCTGATCATATAGTATTTTTCTTTGAAGATTTTTATTCATCAGTGAATATCATAAAATGGTAATTTATATTATTTTATTTAATTATAGTAATTTAACTATTGCAAACATATCAGCTTTAGGGCGATATATTTTTTGCTTTAGTCATGGATGACATTTGCAAATACCGCCCCAAATGCCGCAACCCTTAATTATTTTGACAAAAATCGACAGCTCAATGCCACTGGCTGTAAACTACAATATTGTGGCACTCTCATGGAAAATTTTTAAATTTTTCAATCATGCACACATACCCCTAGGACTCGCCTCAGAATAGATTCAGACATTCACATGCATACATAATACTTATAGACACATGCAAGAGATGTTAAATGCATAAATTCAGTATGTTGGGTTCGAATAGGTGCAATTCTATATTATCTCACTTGGTATTACATGTGTGATATAAAAGTACTCCTCAAACTTATGTGAATTTTTTTAAGATGGTGGTGACTGGTGAGACATGCAAAGCTTTTGTGGCGTAGAATGTTGGGAATTACAAGAGAAGCGTAAAATTACATGGCTTTAAACCTAGAGATAGAATGCGAAATAAGTACATACGTGAAAAGATTGAAGTAGCTATAGTTGCAGATAAGATTAGGGAGAATCGTTTTAGATGGCTTGGTCACATAAAACGCCAGCCTTCCGATGACTCGGCAAGAGGAGTAGATCTACTAGATTCAGTCTAAGCTAAGTAAAAAGTCTTGGTTAGAAAATATTAGAAATGATATTTTTATTTGATTTAAATGAGAATTCAACTCTTAACAGGACAATGAAAAAAAGAAAGGAATCATGAAGCCAACCCCGATAAAGATTTGAAGTTATTGTTGTTGTATACTAACTGAAATGCTACAAGAAGACAGCTTACATTTTTTCTAACTAATTACAAAAAGTCTTTTCATATAAATCTACATTATCGAACCCAAATTTTTTTTTGAATGGAGGGCTGAATCTATGATAAAATTAGAATTTTAAGTGAGAGAGAACAACGTGATGCTCTGAAACTAAATTAGTCATACAAACAATTGAAGGATTATTTGCAATTTACCCCAATACATCATCAAATTTAAATAGATAAAAATTACCCTACCCCTTGTCCATGACTTCACCACTTATACAAACAACTGAATTTTTTCAGAGAACAACAATAGCTTAACATCAGCTTCAGAAGAAGCTGCAACAGGTTACATAACAGACATAAATTCACGCAATCCAGCACATCAAGCAACGACATAAACACAGATTAAAAGAAAAAAAAAAAAATATAAATTTTAGAAAGAGAGAGCCCAGCCATCAATTTTCCAACTTCAACTAAGCTCCATCACTTTGATCTGCACTGATAAAACGGATTGCAGCCACGGCCAGTGTATGATTCCCCTGGCTTCGGAACGCGAGGAATTGGGTTGTTAGGTTCTATGGACTTGTAACTCAGTTGGGTAGAATAGGACAGACTCCCTTCGAGCCCTGCAGCTTGATCTTCATGGTTGATCTCCGGCCAGAAGAAGCCATTAATGGAGGTCTGGTTCACGCCTCCGACGACGACGATGTTTTGCTTAGAAGCAGCGGAAGTTTTGAGGAGGAGGAAGGCTGAGATAACAAGTAAAGTAATGCTGGTTTTCTCCATTAACTTGCTACTCATTGATGACGCTTACTCTCAAACAAAATTACTATGAGATATTGTTGTGCTACTGCTGCTGCTTGCTCCTACTCCTCTTAAACGAAGCCCTGAGAGGGGAGCAATTATTACATCCGGTTCCAGAGATCAATAATCACACGTCACATCACCTATAATTCGGTATTTTGGACTCGGTATTGTTCAGTATACATTGGAACAGTTCGATTTTTGATCGGATATAATAATTTCTCCTGACAGAGACTGTGAGAGACCCGTGACATAATCTCATCGTTAGGGGTGTATTTTATTGGATTGAATGATTTGCTTTAACGGTTAGCTAAATTAATTTGATTCTGATTGTAAAATTTAAAAAATTAAATAAATATATCAAAGTATTTTTTAAATCAATTTAATTTGAACCTAATTTTAGTTTCATAAGTTCAACTTTGTTTTGGATGAATCAAAATATAATTAATAATGTTGCTAGCTATAAAATTTATGAATGTAGACATTGAGATGTTTTAGTTTTGACTTTATACAAAGATTCAACATACAAAAAAAAAAATCATAGTATATAAGATATGATCAAACAATATGCATGCTCATCTCAATCAATATAATCAATATCATTCAATATCATCAATGTTTAGTCATCACTTATACTAGTCGATATGGTCAAAAACGAAAATTAAATCATTATGCTAAAATCCATAAATCAATAATAAATACTAGAACATAAATATATTAGAAATAATAAATCAATATTGTAGCATAAACATGCATGTATCAATGTCATCAATATCATCAATCTTGTCTATCTTATCAATTATTTAAAAAATAAATCAGTATATGTAACCATTCATATGTTATCCTATTTATCAATGCTATCAATGTATGTATGCATTAGTATGTTATTTAATATAGGGTTCAGCAAGACATGACATCCAGCTTTAACATAGTGTTTTTATTTCTTTCATATGTATTCAATTCATCATTATCATCTTTATTATCATTATCTTTATCATTATTATTGTTGCGGGCTAGAATATACGCGACGATAGATTTATAATCTTATGTCTTAGCATTGTACGGATATCTAGCTCACACACAGAGAACATAAGATTTTTACATTAAAGATCCTAGAAAGGGGAAAAAAACCATGGGGCCTGACCCAACTGAAAATGATTCCACTATAATTTGAATATATTACATAGTGGGTTGACCTGTCCTTGAGGGCGATCATATTACAAATGCCAACCGTATGGTTGAAATATAGTGACAAACGGGGATGAAAATCTGGCGTCACTTGGTGGCCCATTGGAAGTCCGAAGTTACTTGGAAATTCGGGCGTCAGTTGGTAAACTGATGGTGGTTTGGCGGAACTTCAATGTCGAGCGGTGGTCTAACAGAATTCTGGTGTCGGGCAATGGTCCGATAGAACTCCGACATCGAGTAGTAGTCTCTAAGAACTCCTGGTGTCATGTGATGGTCCGACAAAACTTCGGGAGTCAAGAGGTGGTTTGACGGAACTTCAGGTGTCAGGTGATGATCCGGCGGAACTCCGACGGTGGTCAAGGAGGCAAGAGCGATCTCTAATCTCTCCCTTTTCTCCTTAGGCTTAGGGGTTCCCTTCCAAGAGGAAGGATATTATATTTATAGATTTTCTAGAGTGACATGACCCGTAAATAAGAGGAAGATCAAGGGTAAATGGGAAGTGGTTTAGATGGACGACCAATATTGGATCCCTTGATTGTGGATCGTTCGCCAGACATTTGAAAGTATTATTGATGTCAAAATTTTGTGATCCTGGGCTCGTTGGATTTGTCTCGTCGAGTCGCTCGATTCGACTATAAGCATGTAGTGTTGGAAAACAGTTTGGTAATCCAAATTGTGGTTCGAACCTTCCAACATCGTTTCAGGCCCTTGGTTTGGACCCATTTGGGCTCGGATTGAGTCAAATTTGGTGTCGTTGGGTTTGTATTTTTGAGACGTTTAGTTCGACTATAAGTTTTTTGAAATCGGAGTTTGGATGGTCGCAATTTTAATTTTGGAAGTTTCTAACTTGATTTTGCCTCAATATTTGTGCCTGATCATGATAATTTTTTGATGATGATGTATCAATTATTAAAATCTATCTTTTAATAAATCATTAAGGGTTGCCGCCTTCTAACAGTCAATAATAATAATTCAAGTTTTGAAAATCGGACCGGCCGGTCCGGTCTGACCGGTTCAACCGTGAACCGGTCTAAAGATCGGTTCAATTCAGCCTAAAAAACTAGTTGTGCATCAAACCGGCCAGAACCAGTTTGAACCGCCGGGTCAA